ATTTGCCTCGGGGCTGAACTGAAAATCGAAGGTCTGCGCCTGGGCGTCAGAATGCCGGATGGCGCCAAGTATCGAAATCCGAAAATGCCTGAGGAGGGATTTGAGAACGGGTGCCAACTGCAGGGGGCGCCAACAGTCAGGCACCGGAGATCAGAGACTCAAAAATGAAATAGCAGCCTGGGGGGTGGTAATCCGCGGACCAGGGATCGAGCCCTGGCTGAGTCCGTAGCAGCTACCCTGTTATTTGTGGTTCCTGCCCCCATCCCTGATGGCATTGGATAATCTATTAATCATCCAATCTCCAAGGACTACCGTTAAAAGACCAGTATATGGCCCCAACCAAGTTGAGAATCCGATTGAGCCTCCTAAAATTCCGGAGGCTCGGGACAGGGTGCCCGAAGGAAGGGCCAGTAGAAAACATGTCCCACGCTGTGGGGCGGTACTAGGCCCAGCCCTGAACCAAAAAAAAAAAAAAATCCGCCCGCCCCCAGGTGGGCCCTGTCCCGAGTCCCCTAACTTCTCGGAGAGGCTCATTCGGATTCTCCAGATGTACTGGTGGTTTCCGTGTATTGTCACAATGCACTCTCCCAAGAGCTCACAGAGAAGTGTTGCTCATTTTAGGTTTTTTTTTTTTTGTTTTTTTTTTTTTTGCCATTTTTGTTGAGAGAAAGCCCTTTGAAATCTCAAAAGGTTGGGCTGTTCGCGGAGATTCCTTAGCAGAAGCAAGAAGGGGTCAGTAGAAAGGAGAGATCTGATAACCGTTTGTCATACTGCCTTGTAATTTTTGGCAAAACTGTGTCACAGTTTTGCACAGTAGCAAACAATTGATTACATCCGGGACCCTCTCTTCTGTAAGTCTCGACTTGTGTTGAGCAGCTTCTGCTTTCTTATGTTCTTTTCTTTTTTCCTCCTTGTTTTTATGAAGGGGTAGCGGCGGTGGCACCTTTTTTTTTTTTTTTTACTATTTAGTTAATACAGGGCCTTATGGTCCTGACTCCGTTTGATTCCAGAGAGCATTAGCTGCGTTCCTTTTCCACCTCCGAGTCAGGAACAGCACAAGACCCTTCCTCCTGAAGGTAACCCTGAGCAGCATTGATTTCTCCCTAAAAGGTGGTGGTACCTAGGATTATTGGACTCGTCTGGTTCCATGAGGATTTGAATTCGTACCTTTCTCAGCCTTCTGGCTGAGATCAAGTGTAGTATCTGTTCTGAACAGTTTAATATCCTATCGGTGGGCCGTTGCCCACCCCTGCGGCGCGCCCCGCCCCCCTGCCCCCCTCTCCTCTTCCCCTTACAAAAAAAAATAGGTTCTGAAGTTCTGAAACTCATGTTTACTGGCAGTTAACATGTGTGTACCATTCAGCCATGGATCTTTATCGGCATTTATATTTTACGATGTCTTGACGTCTCTGGACGGCGGCCTCTTGGCCAGGCTCGGGTGTTGAACAGGGAGTGCCTGCACTGTTTTTGTCATACACCAGACAGATAGGACAAACCTCATTTGCTAAGTGTGTCGAGCAGGCCAATAGTTGGTACTACCCGTCAGTTAGTTCCGCTACTCCGCATTTGTGGGTTACAAGCTAGAGAGGACGTGACATTTGGGTCTGGAGAGAGAGAGAGAGAGAGAGAGAGAGAGAGAGAGAGAGAGAGAGAGAGAGAGAGAGAGAGAGAGAGAGAGAGAGAGAGAGAGAGATTTTCTCGCAGCACTTAGTCAGCATGCTGTTGAGAGAGAACGATTATGTCGAAGGTGAGATTTAGGGAGACATTAAGCGGATATTGAGTTCTCAATTACGTTTCTCTCCCACATCATGTCTTCTTCTCCTTCCACATTTCATATGTGCATGATTGGCCAGGGAGGAGTCCATCCACACATGTCTCTTCTCCTCCCGGCTTCTGTCATGAGTATGTGTGACTCACGGTGGGCTGAACTCTCCAGGTGTATGATGTGCTTGAGTCTAGCTCGCTTCGTTTGTGCATTGTCATCGAGTCATCTCGTGCAAGGTCACACGTGGCCCATGTGGATGAACAGTGCACATTTAACTGTTAGTAAACAGGTCGTGAGTTTGAACTTTGAACTAATGAAATGTCAGGGGCTACCCCCTCTTCACAAGTACACCTAAAAGTGCTTACAACACCTCACTTTTGTGCCCAAGTTCTCTCTCACTCTCCTATTGATCAGTGCCAATGGATCCGAGTTTGAAGAGACTCTTCTATGTAAGATATGCTGATGATTTTCTTATTATCATATAACCGCAGAATCGAGAACAGATGCTGTCGAGATGAAAACGTTGGTTACTCAATACTTATCTCAAGATAATGAGCAAGTGTGAAGCACGAAGGTCATAATGGGATGTCTACAACGAGACCCTGACCTGTTTTCAAGCAGGGGGAGAGAGCGAGTGTGTGTGTGTGTGTGTGTGTGTGTGTGTGTGTGTGTGTGTGTGTGTGTGTGTGTG